CACTTTAGGCGAACTTCATAACCTACAAGTGTTGGACATAGTTGGGAATAGTCTACATATTTGGCAAGATGAATTTGGTTTGGGACTAACAAGCCTTTCAGAACTAAGAGCAGACGAAAATTGCTTGCACAGCTTACCAGAAACTTTTACTTTACTTTCTAAACTCACAGTTTTAGAGCTGGCTGAAAATAAGCTTACCAGGCTTCCAGTTAAGTTTGGTAATTTGCATGAATTAACGATTCTCAATCTGAGTCAAAACAATATAGAAGAATTACCTGACTCATTCGCAAATCTTGAAAATCTAGTTAGCATTGACATGACAGGTAACCACATGGAATTCTTACTGGAAGATTTCAAGTCAGCTGAGAAATTGCAGTACTTCTATGCAGCAAATAACATGTTTAAGGTCCTGCCACACTGGTTTGAGAAATTATATAACATTGTTGAACTAAATTTATCGAATAACGAGCTTAATGGCATGCCACTGCCACAAAACTTTGGTGACATTTCTAAAACTACCCTTGTTTCATTGGATCTATCTGGCAATAAAATGACTGCTTTGCCAGATTCAATTGGACAGCTGCAGAAGCTTGAAACATTTCATCTGGGAAGTACAATCTGTGAACTTGAGCGCAAAGCATTTCAAAATGGAAACTGGTTACCCAGACTTCCTGATAGTTTTGGTAACATGATAKCACTGACCAAACTACATTTAGATGAAAACCAATTGTGTTCTCTCCCTGACAGTTTTGGTGATTTGAGAAGCCTGGAATGGTTGGATGTRTCTCAAAACCTAATTCAACAACTCCCAAAATCATTTTGTAGTCTCACTAATTTATGGTATTTACAGTTTTCTAAAAACAGCCTTGAAAGTTTGCCTGAAGATTTTGGTAACCTTTGCAACCTTGTAGAGCTTAGACTAGATAGTAACAGCATTGCATCATTACCAGAATCCTTTGCCAACTTACAAAAAGTTCAGACAGTGGATTTATTTCGTAACAAACTCACTGAAATTCCAAAAGTTTTGCTGAAATTGAAAAATCTTCGAAGATTGGATCTCGATGGGAACAAGTTAAAGATAAAGGAAGATAAAGTGCCAAAACTGACAACTCCAGTAAGGGAAAGTATATCATTGAATTGATATATGAGTGAGTTAATAWAGAGTATATTACATAAATTATGTATGGGAGAAACAGATTTTATCTTAGAGTGTTGAAAATATTTTCTATTTTAGAAAAGAAARTTTGCATCTCCAAGCAACCATGTAATATTCTTTTTATCATATAATTATATTTGAAAGCAAATCATGTTACTTCCAATGTATAGAGAAACCTGCAATGTGTTAACAAATAACAACTTTTTGAAAGGGAGAAATATAGTGTATTAATTCATAAAGAATTTTATATAAAAATTAATACTACATAGATGAGCAAGTGCAGGAATGGTAAGATAAACATGCAAATAAATGAATAACAGAATAAATGGATAGACTAGTCTAGCGACAATGAATGACATATAAACAAACAATGGATAAATGTTAAACAAATCCACAATAGAAATTGAATGGAAAAATGGATTTGTAAAAGGATGTTTCAAGGAGCTGATCAGCCCTATCTTCATRTTTGTTTGTTTTTTGATATAGGTTCAATATGCTCCAAGAGATCCTACATTAAAAGGCACTTGGCGTGGCAAAATGAGAGAGGACAAGCAAGTGCATTTCACAGATGATGGTGCAGAAACAGAGCAAAATATTTTTCACTTGATTGAGAATGCTGAGCTGGAAGAAGAACCTGAAAATGATGGTGATGAAGAATGTAACTACAGTGAAAGGGTACTAGAACTGGCCATGAGACGAGGGTTGTCAATATGGAAGTCGCATACAGGTTAGTGTCTCCTTTCTCTCATGCTGATTGGCTAATAACTAAATGTATCTTTTATTCTAAAAAAAGATGACTTTGTTGATAATTCCAATCTGGTGCTCAGCACTTTCCAAGTCCTGTTGATATATTCTCTAATTTTAATAATCTTTCTTGATAATTATTTTAAATATTCAATAATTATCCATTGATTTATTTCTTTATTTTTTCTCCTTCCATCTTTTTCTCTATTTGTTTTAATTTATTCACTTATTACAGGACCTGAACAAAGGGAAGTTGAAAGCAAAAGAGATGAGTTCTTCAGGTTTGTTCCACAGGTAGCAAACCCATGTTTGGATATGTATGAAGACGCCAGTGACCAAACTAATAGTGTGACTTCATCAAGTGGTGAAGACCAGCTGCTTGTTTCAGAAGACTGGGATAAAGAGGTTGAAGAAACATGGTCACAAATGAACCACAAGAAGGGAATACATGTGATCAGTGATATGCCAATCCGAGATCAGTTACAAGACATTCTACATTCATATCCTCCTGCAAAACAAGCATTTACCGAGAGTGCAATGTACGAGTCCATATACAGGAAGCATATSCCTGATTACTGTAATAATAGGACTGTGATTAATACTATTAGTGACGACAATGGACAGTTTGAAGATGCTGATTAACAATAACCAYACAAGCATAATCACTACTATGGAGAAATGGAAGAATGTTCTATTGAGGACTACGTACTGCCTTATTTCAGTCTTAGGCCATTAACTAAGTGMAAAGTTTCAGCTCAAAACATCCTGTCTTTTTAGATGCTTAACAAACTCAGGAAAATAGGAATGATAGACCTCATTGGCTTGTGCAATAAATCGTTGCACCATTTTAGACGCTTGGGCTGTTATTTAACTGCTATCATGCCTCCATTTGGCCTCGATTGACAACAAAGAATTATTGGACAAACATNAAGCCAAGGTCTTTTACCAAAATGATGAATGCTACTGTATCTGTGATTTCACACCATTCTGTTATGTTATCAAAAATGCTAAATATCCCTTTACTTTTGCTCTTGAATTCCACAAGATCAATATCATTCAATATCATATGTAAATCATTTTCCTGTAACTGGTTTTGCTCTAGAAACCTGTCACTTAAAAGCACTTGTTGATGTTTTGTTTGTTGGTAGCATAGATGATCTCTTGCCTACTCCACAGGTCTCTCTTTCTCCCAGTCTTCCAGTGTTAGAGTAAGCCATTCCCTATATTTCCACAGGCAACCCATTATATATCAAAACTGGAAGAGCAAGATGGAGGAGGATAGCATATCTCCAAGGAAACATGATGTTGCTTTGTTTAGTTTGCATTTAAAAATTACTGAAAATTACAAATAAAAGCCAAACTCTATAAATCTTGTATTAATCCTTTGGAAAACCATKATATTTTATTATCTTTTGATACAACTCTGCAGATTTCTTTGGTATTCTTGTTCGCCTCTCGTCTTCAAAATCAACCCAGTGAATCCCAAAGCGCTGCCTATARCCATCATCCCATTCGAAGTTATCCATCAAAGACCACACGAAATACCCTTTCAGATCAACTCCGTCGATATTACAAGCCTTCATGCACTCATTTAAGTATCGTCGGATGTAGCAGACTCTATCCGTGTCGTTTTGAGCGTCTGCACCGTGAAGTTTATCCTCTCCATTACAGCTGAACCCATTTTCTGTGATGACAATTTCTGGGTTGCCGTAGTTTTCTTTTATCCAAACCAGAAGGTTGCGGATGGCGTAAGGTGTACAGAATAACCAGTCTGCTCCACCTACGAGATATTACAACAAAGTTGGAAAGTACATAGTTTGTGCCTTGACACTACACTGAAAGGGAATCATTATCTAGGAAACCTTGTTAATCCGCCCACCGAAGGGATACCAAAAATGGTGGTAAACTAGTGTGAGCTGCGTCGGTGTTTCTAAAGAAACAGTTGTGTAAAAAGATAAATTTAACACCGTAAAAAAAGTATGTGAAATAACTTACTGACGTTTCGGACGTTAATCCTTCGTCGGAGTAAAAGTGAAAGTGAATTTATCTTTTTACACGACGGATACCAAAAATGGCCGCATTACCGGAGTGGCCGAAGGCTACGACGGGGTAGCCATATTAAGCGGGTGGCCGTTAAGGCGGGGTTCCTGCACTGTAACATGAAATGKTGCTCTCCATAAACCGTATTCATCACTGCGTTTTCTTGATGCGATTCAGAGGACTTTCTACAAGAAAGACCGTTGAAGTATAACGCATCTAAGACGATAACAAAGGGAAAACACCCTGGTATATATGGGGCCTCAACCTGTCGACGATGGGGTTTGAAAATGGCCATTAAATGTACGCAGAAATTAACTCTGATATTCGACTGTGAACTAACCCTATGAGCCAGTAAATGCAGGGTTCGTACAGTCTTGAAAAGTCCTTGATTTTGGAGCTAGGTCCTTGAATAGTCCTTAAATGCAAATTTTCCTTGAAAAGTCCTTGAATTTGGAGGAAAGGTCCTTGAAAATGATAATTTAGTCCTTGAATCAGTCTTGGTTGTTGTGAAGTAGTTATAGAGATCAATTTTGCCAAGATTTGAAGCAAATTGATAATATTTCAATCCTTTTGGCAATGTCTGTTGTACTATTGTGCAATACGGCGGCAAAGAAATTAATAGAGATTGAAAAAAATATGTTCCAATGGATAAAGTTCTTAAACAAAGTTGACTACAATATATTTTTATTGTTCTGTTTGGTAAGACTACTAAGTTTATTAACTGTATCTTTCTCTTTGTAATTGGTGTCCTTGAAAATTGAAAATTAATCCTTAAAAAGTCCTTGAAAAGTCCTTGAATTTTATATGTAAAAATCTGTACGAACCCTGAAATGACATTTTATATAACATTGCAACAATCTGTGTAATCCGTTAACTGACCCTTAAAGCTACGGTGATAGTTCGAGACCCGAAAAGGTTAATCGTGTTTTCGACCAGGCTACCCTTACCACTATCGTAAGGGAGCGCTTACTTGTAGAGTGAATGCATTCTAATCCGTGAAATTTGTAATAAAGAATCACACTGAAAAGACATCATTCACTCACATTTAAAGACCCAGTTCGCACCATTATGCTTTGCGCGCCTCTGTTATTATTGTCATTTACACCAAAATACTTCTAAGATCCAAATATCACCATAAAACGAATTTCAGATGGTTGAAAACTTTTATATTAGCGTTTAAAGTGTTTATAAAAGTGAGATGGTCAAAGATTAATCCAAACACACAGTACAATTTATAGACTTTCGGTAAACTGAAAATGGCCGCCTCCAGGCCCTAGCGACCACCAAGCATAATGGTGCACACTGGGCCTTTAACCGCGCTTCTCCCCTGACTTCTTTTATCAACGTTCTTCACACTCAAAAGCAGTGTAGCTTTTATTTGACGGCTGTACAATGGGAATGATTGTCTGCACAATAGAACAAAAGAAATCAATAGGTGTGATGTCACGGGAGAATTCTTTCTATTATAGGGACTGTGCAATAATTACCAGGAGTGGGTGGGGGCTGTAAAACCAGATTTCTTAAGCAGAAAATTGGTTAAAACCCCCCCTCCGAAGCACAAGAAAATAGCTCTTACCCCCCCCCTCTGCTATATTAGAAATAACGTCGCACCCCCCCCCCAAAAAAAAAATATTAACCTTAGTTATAAAACAAGCAAAAGCGAGTCGAGTCAGCTGTAGCAACCCAAAATTCACTAAAGTCGAACCCAGATGCAAGAGGTGGCTTACTCATCTGGATCTAAGTGTAAAGACAAAAACTTTCAGAAGGAGCTGACAAGCAAATGTGGTGCCCTTGCTTCTTTCAAATAATTTTGTTCCTGGCAAAGGTTTTCACGGTCCAAAAAAGGCTTATGTACGTTTTTATCGTAAAAAACGACTTTGATATTACTTGTGCTTGTTATGTCTAATAAATCATCAATATGTTTTTCAGCTTCTACATCTTCAATTAATGTGAAAACTACATCCTCAATTTATGTGACAAAATTGAAAAAATCAATAGTTGAAAAAAAATCATATCTTGTTCAATTTCAATCCCACATCAACGAGTCTTTGAATTTAGATTTCCATTAGTCATTAGTCCATTAGCCATTAGTAGTTTTCCCCCTCCTGGTAATTAATGCACAGTCCCTTATACATGATATCTTTTAACATGTATCCTATGTATGTCAAATTTCAATCAAAGTTGAGCAATTTAATAACATGGTGCTCGTAAAGATAATGGTAATTSAAAGGATGTTCATTTAAGTTTCAGACTTAGTGCTGAACGGACCACAAAAAAATCTCTCCTTGATTTGTTACTAGGCCCTCTCACCCAGTCAGTAAGTACATAATAATACACGCAAGGTGCATATAATTGTTTGTGCGATTTTTAGATTGGTGTCAATTGTCAAGGGCGATACCAATAAAGGGAAAACCAGGCTTAAGCTGCAATAGTTTACCTTTTATCCAGTGGGACTTTCTGGTTTTCTTAACTTCCTGATCAGTGTCATAATTCCATACGGTATGGGGGTCTTTTGCCAATTCATCATTGTGTTCCACCACTGTTGCGGAGTAAAAATTCAGGGCAACAAAATCTGCTGTCCCTTTCACAAATTTTTTTTCTTCTTCGCTGAAACTTGGTAACCTAATTTTAATCAAACTGAGAGTTAGCTGGACTGTTTACAGCAATGGTCATGTCCAGGGTGCGACGCGGATGCGTCAAGAAAATACTAYGAACAATTAATAATTATTCGTTAATATACCTGCACAATAGCCCTTTCGAGCGACTTTTTTCAGCAATGCTGTCTTTCATGACTTGTGGATAATCTCCTTTAAAAACAGGATGAGCAATCCAACCAAAATACCACTCCATACCTCGATATGATGCCTGTTTATCAGCCTCTCGGTCGGTCTTAGGATCAAAGTATTGAGTGTTGAGGACAATTGTAATTCTGCCTTTCTGGTCAGCACGGAACTCCGTGTCATAGATGTGCCATGCTGTAGCGTGAGCCAAGAGCATGTTGTGGGCAACTGCGATGAGAAAACCATATGAATTAGTGGAAAACACCAGCGCACTCTAGATTATCAAATCTACAACAATAGACGTGCTGCACTCCGCAAGTTTCTCAGCAACCTCGCAGCGCAGTTTCCACATCAGCTGCTGAAGAATTGGACAGTGTAACAGCGGTGCTCACGCAACTTTTTATGTAGCACGTAGTCTTACACTTTAAAACTGAAGGTCTACTATTCGCAAAACATTGCAGAAACGCCATTGCACAGTGTAGAACCTGCAACCAGCAACTTTTCCTCAATGCTCGAGTTACGTACACTGAGAGAGCATGCGCAATTTCACATTTCAAAACTTACTACTATGGGAAAATTACATAGAGAGACCGAGGTGTATTTTCCAGCTACTGTTGACACAGCGTTGAGAGCCAAATGGCTAAGAAAATTGTAAAAGGGCTATGATTTTCTGAAATGCATGAATGAATATGAATGAACCGATGAATATGCACATACATGTCGATGAAAGGTCGATGGTCACGGTTGGTGTTGGTTGGTGYACACGTCTTGCATTGACTGTAATCGTTAAACAGCGTCAGCGCGCTCGCRCTTTTTGTCTTTTTGCAGGGAACCAGAAAAGGGAGAATGAGAGAGAAATGAGAAAGAAAGAAAGAGAGAAATGGACAATCTCCATGAGTCTTCATATCTAAGTGTCAGTGGTATGCATTGACTACCACGGGATGGCAAAAGTGTGAGTTCTGTATAGGAGATTGTAGCATAATGTTGTTTTGAGGATATTGATGGGGGGTTGAGAGGTGCGTCATGCTAGGAAAGGAGGGCGGCTAGGAGTATAGCTTATCATTCATCGAGTATCTTATTGAAAACCGATTTTACTTTTCTGCCAATTATATCGCTCTGATATCAACGGACCAATCAGCTGCAACATTCAGATCCTSAATGTGAACTCTGGCATGGAAGTGAGGCCTCCAGAGGCTGGTTTCCGGTTCGACCTTACGGACTCAAAAACTATAAGAAAGAGTAAATCCAGCCTCTTGAATCAAGGGTAGAGGGAGTGTGGGTAAAAATGTTGAAATTCCTTTCTCATCACTAKTCCCAAACGGGAAATATGGTCGTAACAAACGAAGCTCGAAGGAGGAAAAAAGAGTCACCGCGACCGGAAGTAGGCTACCAACAATGAAAAACAAACAGTCTACTCCCAATGGTCTGTAGTAGATGTTTTAGACTGTGTATGATATTAGTCAATAAGTTAGTCGATATTCGACCTTGCAGGCTGTGTTGTTTATAGCTACAATGTACCTTTATAGGGTCCATTTTCCATGTCCTTTACTCCCGGTGGAAATGTCCCAGTACCATACGAACACAGAGCTTCTTCATGTGGCTCATTTATGGTGAACCAAAGCTTAACGTCKTTACCAAATTGTTCAAAACAAAGCCGACAATAGTCTCCAAACAACTTAGCGATCCCTGGGTTTAACCAGCCCCCTATCTCTTGTAAGGCCTGAGGCATATCAAAGTGATATAGAGTGACGGCGGGCTGGATGTTATTTTCCTGAAGTTTCTCGATAAGTTTTCTGTAGTATTTCAAACCCAGTGGATTGACATGATCGATTCGACCTTGAGGAAGAACTCGAGACCAAGAAATCGAGAATCGATAATGGCTGACACCGAGGYTTTTCAAAAGAGCGACATCTTCGTTAATCTTGTGGTAACTGTCACATGCTACGTCGGCATTTTGGTTCTTGTAAACATTCCCCGGTTGGTGTGCGAAGGCATCCCAGATACTCGGGCCTTTTCCATCTTCGTTCCAAGCTCCTTCGATCTGGTATGCTGCGGTGGCGGCGCCCCACATGAAATGATTGGGAAAAGTTCCATGTAAGAAATCACCTTCCTCATGAGCCATGTCTACCGACGATAAATTGATCATCAGTCACTGCTACATAATTTACCAGGCGTTCCTAGCCACTCCTTCGTCCTGAGCTCCCTCGGCAGGGATTATAAGGCAACCCAAGTCAACTTTAGCGTAAATTTGCGTATACTATATTATACACTAGCCTATGTAAAACGAAGTTACGCGATCTTTTCCCGTTTTAGTATAAAGGTTTTGTTGAAGAAATTTTTTCTTACAGAAAGGAGAGGGGTGTTTTTGGCAAAGTTCGCTAATGTGTAGATGTCCCGGATTCAATGCGTGCAGACAGCAACGCTATGAATTGTGAGTTGCGAGGTAAACAGATGATTTTATACAAGGGGGAGAACACAAAAATAAATGAACAAAACCTGGCGTCAGTCAATCCAAAATGCGAACATGGTTCGCCAAGAGCGTTCATGTGATTTCCAAACTGAATCGAACACTCCAACCAATCGAACAAATTGAATTGATAGATTTTGCTTGTAAAACGATCTACAGCTGTAAAAAACGTAAAAAGACACCAAATAGAATAAATGCATAGTGTGACAGGGTGAGGGGTTGAAAGTCCCACTGAAGGGGCACCTGAAATATCTCAAAATAGCCCCCCCCTCCCCCCCCCCCCCCCCCCACGGTTTTGACTCATTACGTCACCTGCATTTCGATTTTGTTCGATCATGGACTATAAGTTCGATTTTCAAACGTTCGATTGTTTTTTATTTTTTGTGAGTATGATTGTGTTCGATTTCAAAACCCGAAAAGTCAATCAAATCATCAAAACAGACTTTCATGTTCGATTGAGTCGGGACAAAAACTCCGCAGGGTTACGATTCATTTTTATAAACACAGACGAGAAACTCCATTCTTATCGGCAGCAGCGTCTTGAGACAAGGGGAGATAAAAAACGACAACAACAACAAAAAAGCCAACGGTAAAAATAGCAACAAACAAAAAGCGATCCTGTCTCAGATTTCTATGCGTTTCCAATCACATATTTAGAAGAGGGATCCCGACAGAGAAATATCCTAATAGATAACGGCTGAAAGGCCGGCATAACGTATGACAACTTTTTATACTGGTAAGTAATAGATTCTACAGTGTATATAGATAGAAAAGTGTCCATTCGAATGTTATAATTCGTCGCAGAGTAACAGAAAAGAGACAAAGTCCGATTTATTCCTATACAAATATTATGGTGTTAGGTGACTGTCCGTCCTAGTCGTTCATTGGATTAGAGCTAGTCTCAGCTGGAATGACAAGATGTCAATCTACAAAACACACAACCTTGTTATGAATTAATTCAAATGCGCGAGGTCGATCCGTGAAAATCACTTGATTCATGACAAAAAGAAAGTGATTGGTTTGCTTCAAAAAAGACCTCAGTTTCTTGATAGGTTCACAACTTATTACTGTGACAGGCAATTGAAGTGTCTTGTGGTTTGGTTAATGATCAGTGTTGTGAAATAGGTGTAACCTGAGATTGGAGAGCGTCGCAGGTCCCGTATTCTACTAATCTGGTCCACACAAACCGCACACTTTTTCTAAGCTCATTGTTTGGTTTCAGTGAATTACAAAGTTGTTTATTGAAGTTATTAGCGATATAACAGTTTTGGATAAATCATGGCAAAAGCAGAGGTTAATAACGGCGAGATCAATGTTACAATCGCTGGCCCGGCCGACGAGAAACCCACGGTCGAGGTACAAGACGATAGAGGAGGCTGGGGCAACAAGATAGAGTTTATTTTAGCTACAGTTGGTTATGCAGTTGGCTTGGGAAATGTTTGGCGTTTCCCATATCTATGCCAGAAGAATGGCGGTGGTAAGTGAACTTTAGTAGAACGCATTAAACTGCAAACAGTTTGAAGTAGTGCTTGGGGTCGCTCGTTTATCCATGCTGCTAATGATTGTTTGCTCAAGTGCGTTGAACCTGCATGTTTCTGATTATCTTACTTAATATGAGGTCCTGGTGCAGATAGAATTGACTTATTAAACAGCCTTCGAATCAAAGTAAATACGAAATATAAATCACCTTTAACATTAACGCCAATCGACTCATGCGGTCGTTCGGGGCGGTGCACCGTGGCACAAATCATGAAACTCTAATACTTGCACCAATTTAGTTAACTTTAAAAGAGCGATATATTTTCACGCGCGTTCAGTTCTTCTGAAGATTTTAATAAATAGCGTGCCTCCTCAATCAGTTAACAAAAACACTTTGAACAGTGGGTATTATCATAAGCATTAWAGTACATTAATAACAAACCACAACACTGTGCACAACTAGTATGGCGGTTCGTATGAAGTACTTGAAATAAGGTCGAAACGCTGATTTGTTCAGTCTAAATGTCATACAATCTATGTTTGACTAGCATTTGTTAGCGCCTTGTATACTTGGTCTTGTTAGTGTTTTAAGTAAAAGCTAATACTGGTACTATATTGTAATGGTGACATATTTAAAACCAGCGCAGTTATGTAAGTTAACTCTTTGTTTGTTACTAGATTGATTGGAATGTTTCTGTAAATATGCATTCATTTGCCATGCTAACATCTTGAGCATAAGCTCTTTTCATTAGTCCGCGAATGGTGTTTTACGCTACTTGCCGTAAATTGAAGTTTAAAAACCCGTGAAATAGATATCACACTAATCTTTGCGTTCATTTGTGTCTATTTGACTATCAACTCCTTAAATATTCAAGTTTCGTTTCTCAGGAATGACTGCAGTCTAATGAAACTTTGTGTTTTTGTTGTGAAGTTTTTGTTCCATTTTTTTCTTTACCCGAATAGAAACACTTTTGCAATCGTGTTTCCGTCACACAACGCGACGGCATTTCATGTGCTTATGACGTATGTCACTATAAAGTTTGACAATAAGTGAATCATACTGTGGTCACACTCGTGAATTTTGCGCTAGCTAATTAAAAGTAACAGTCTTTTTGGATATATCACAGTCAGATCACAGATCACAGATCACAGATSACAGTTTATTATATAGCTCGGATGTAACACACGATTTCACATTGGYTAAAAAGCGGGCCATACTTTCCCGTACGGACCAGATGAAACGAGAAAAAAACGTTTTTTATCTTAAAAAGGCTCGCTTTCTCTCTTTTTGTAGTTGTACTGTATAAAAAGAGTCAAAAATGAATCCAAATTTTGCCAATAAGGTTTCTAAGGCTTTTCTTTTTTCCTTCTATTTTGAATGACAAGAAAATTACGAACAAAAACGTATTTTTATGACCTTTTATGTCCGATTCTCYATTAATTTTACTATTTTTCCCTGAAAATGTTATATAATAAATATCTTATTAACCTCCCTTGCTCGAGCCGTGGGGAAGTTATGGAACCTCGGKTTTTTTTTTCACTTTTTATGGCCCTCACGCTACGCGCTCTGGCCATAAGTCAGTGGGAAAAAACTCGGTCCACGGCCCTCGCGCTCGGTTAATAAGATATTATTATTCGCTGTGTCTATATGGCCGGTTACCGGTCAAGGTCTTGAAAATGCTAAATGGCCGGCAGCCCATAAAACGTGTTTTTCCCTCTCTTATTATCTAAACGAGCTTCCAAACTCCAAAATAAAACTCTATGACTAAAATGAGCGTGTTAAAACTTACATAAACGTCGTCCCGAAATTCATTGCACTTAGAGACATTGTGCGAACTTGAACCGACTGCCGGCCACGCACCAACGAAATCCTAAATGGCCGGCAGCCCATAAAATAACAGATTTCTCTTTTATTATTCTTATTTAAAGTGTTAAAACAACATAATCAACATTTCTGAAACTTTCATGGTACTGTAGAGACATTATTCTTTGCGAGAAAAATCTCAACCAACACGGCGGACTGCCGGTAACACAACATCAAAATCCTAAATGACCGGCAGCTCACAAAATAACAGATTTCTCTTTTACTATTTCTATTTAAAAAG